GTCTACGAGTATTATAAAAAAAGCATGTGCTCAGGCGAATACTGCAAATCAAACCTTGTGAGTTGAACATTATATTTTTTCTACGGCTATGGCATAATATTAAAAATTAGTTAAAATGAGAAAATGCTGTTTTGTATTGTAACCTCAGCTTCTTTCTTTAGGAATATAATTAATATAAAGGATGAGTCACATAATACTCTAGAAATGCATATGTCTGAAACATTTTAAAATTTAAACCTATTAAAAGTCATTTGGTCGCTAGGGGTGGGTGATTATATCGAAATAAATTATCGATTATTTTCGATCAATCAATTATTATCAATAATTTATTTTTATTGTATTTCCTTTAAAATCGAATATTCCAAAATAATCGCTTAATCGAAAATAACCAATTAATTAAGAAGCCGATTCTCGATAAATCTATTTTCCAAAAAAATAACCGAATTATCGATTATTTTCTAATAATCCTTTTCATATTTCCTTTAAAATTGATTATTCTATTATCTTTGAAAAAACGAAAATATTCGATAAATCAAAAATAATCGATTATTAAAAAGCTGATTAACCGATAAATCGATAATTCTGAAAAATAACCGAAATATCGGTTATATAAAATAACCGATTATATTCGATCAATCGATTATTTTCATATAATACCTTTGAAAAATCGAAATTAATCGATTAATCGAAAATAACCGATCAATTAAAAAACCGATTTAACTATAAATCGATTTTTCCTAAAAAATCGATTAATTTTTAATCAAAAGATTATTTTGAATAAGTCTACTTTCTTTCTGTATTTCCTTTAAAATCGATTATTACCATATCTTAAAAAAAAAACGAAAATAATTTAATAAAAATAACGGATTAATCGATTTTCATAAACAAATATCAGAATAATCGATAAATCGATTATTTTTGTAACCTCTATCGGTCGCTTGCTTTTATCCGAGCATTTAGCTCCAAAATTTAGAGATTCGGATTTTTTGATCCCGTTATCTTTGAAACCGCATTCGATTGTATAATAAATAACAAATATTGCTAGAATTTGGATTTTTTTAGTGAACGAAAATTTTGTTTGAGTTGTTGAGGGGTTTATAATGTAACATTTTATCAACAATGTGACTAACTCCCGTAACTTTAGTATTTTTTTGTTTATACTAGATCATATTGTGTATTTTACTTTGTTATAAGACTTAAGATTCAAATGTCACTTTCGATTTGACCACAAATAAGATGAACCTTGAAATTTTAACTAGGTCATACTTTATTTCATCTAATATTCTTATAAAAATAAAATTTAGCTAGCAACTATGCTTCTTTACTTCTTATTTATCTACCAAAAAGGGCTAAAAACAACCTTTAGTAAATATTCTTATAAAATTACTTTTTCAAAACAAAATTTTGTTAGCAACAATGCCTATTTACTTCTTATTTAAATTAAATGTTCAAGATTTTACCTTTTTGTAAATTTATGTAAGTAATATGAAATCTGTTTTCTGAAATATGTATTTGATGCTTAATATTTATTGAAACCCCTTAATGCGGATCTGAAGTGTTCAGCCCAAAGGATTATGGCGCTTTACGTCAAAACGTTAATAAATATTTACCGCTGAAAACGAATATATTTTTTATCTTTCATAACATTGGTACTTGTATTATAAGTATATACAATTTTTCAAGATACATCGTGGCATTTTGAACTTAAAATTGAATAATCAGAACACTTTAAATTGCTAAAACACCAACAAATAAATCAAAAAACAGCTGTCAATGGTGATTAGCAGGCGGAGGTGAGTGTTGAATCGAAAAATCGGAGCAATTCGGGTGGCGTCGTGCAAACAATGATTTTCAATTGGTGGGTTACTTGGGGTTAAAATAGACAACATGCGCAGTGTGCAATATTACATCTTCGGTCTCTTTAATCTAAGGAAATATCTTATAGATACTCATTACGCAAACTCAGAAACTTCTATTTAAATCTACATTTACTGAATTCACATAAAATTTATAAATTTAAATCTATTATCCTTATTCCAGTTCTGTGATTTAGATTGCTAGAAGGCATTTTTTGGTATCATTTTATCATTGTAACATGAGATTACACGAATGCCTAATGTAGAGTAGAATCTCAACTATTCATCACAAATGTAATAATTAATCCGTATTCAATTCTACTTTCCGTAGCTTTACAAAGTAGTGATCTTTCTCCAAAAAATCTAGGTTGAAATTCGCAACTAGTATTATTTGACTACTCTTGTAAAATTTTAAAATTCCAGTTAAAAATGTTATTTTAATTGTGTGACATCCTGTATAAAATAGTATTCAATTAATTTAAATTCAGTTATGGCCGCACGCAATATTTCTAAGAAATGGAAATTTCGTGAAGTGGGAATACAGTAAAGCAAACGATTTCGCCATTAGATCTTGAAATTTCATTTCCCGATATTATCTCCTAGTATCTGCTAGTGTTTGGCTGTACAAGTGGTGAGTTAAAAAAGTATAATGTTGTAAAAATATGTCGGTAGAAATTATATTTCAACCTGTTGTTAGTTATAAGTTTATTTTTTTAAAAGTCAAGTTAAATTTTTTAAAATATGTTTTTATAATTCATTTCGGTTGCTGGAATTGCAGTGTTTATAGTAATTAAAAGTAGATGTTTCAAATTTAATTTATATCTCATGCAAGAGCCACGTGAAAAACAGAATTTATTTTTTATTTAGAAAACGAATAGGAGCAGCTAAAAGCTAGAATTAGAACAAGAACCTAGAACTAGAACAAGAAAGAACGAGATTTGGTGTTCGTGCTCGAGTAGCAGAATTATAGATAGAACAAGATTTGGTATTCGTGCTCGAGTAGCAGGATTATAGAAAGAACGAGATTTGGTATTCATTCCCGAGTAGCAGAAGTATATAATAGTGGAAAAAAATAAGGGATAAAAAAAAAATCTCGATTTTTTTCAATTTTTCGAGTACCTGTATCTGTGGTAAAAATGATCGTACGTGAATGAAAAAAAAAAAAGCAATTTGAAGCTTGAAGTGTTTAGTTTACGGATCTTGCGATAAAAAAATTTTCCAACCAACAATTAGCACAAAATCCTGATGAATATCATGGATAGAAAAACGCGATCCTTCAATTTTTTCAAAAATTCACTCGCATGAAACAATGAAACGGCTTAATGGATCAGGTTGAATTTTTGTAAGGCTTTCGGGGAAACAATGGCATATAAGATGCATACTCAACATTAGTCATTTTTCCAATATTCTCAATGTGGCATGTGATTTTCTAAAAAATCTCAAAAATACCTGTTTTCCAAAATTCTTCAAATTGCTAGGGATAAAAAAAAATTTTCCCGTGAAAGAACATGCCAGAACCTTGTAGAGAATGAATCGAAGTTTCCGAAACCCCCCTTACATTATCTGAGCGACCATTGGTTCCTGAGATATTGACGAGAGAAGAGGAAATGAATCATTTTCGTTTTCTGATAACTCAGCAAGGAAGGGTCATTTCGAGGCCATCAAAAAAAGGAATTGAAGCTAACTGAACCATCTATCCAATGCATATAGTGGTTATGTCGAGATATTTTTCCGTACATTAAAATAAAAAAAAAAAATTTCAAACATTTTCTATCCATGATATTCATCAGGATTTTGTGCTGTTAGTTGGAAATTTTTTACATTGCAAGATCCATAAACTATATACGTCAAGATTCAAATTGCTTTTTTTTTCATTCACGTACGACCGGAAAAGATACAGCCACTCGAAAAATCGCAAAATATCGAGATTTTTTTGATCCCTTAATTTTTTCCACTAGTGTAGTTCTACTGCATCCTAAGGAAGTTGCCACACAAAACCATATAGTGGTAACTAGATAGTTCTAATTTTATTATTAGGGATATAAATAGTATATTACACACCGAGGTGGGAAGAGTTTCATTCCTGTCGTGAGATTAGTTAGATCACCGAGACGCGAAGCGTCGAGGTTAGCTATGATCTCGAGACAGGAATGAAACTGCCTACCGAGGTTTGTATACTATTTTATTTACAACCATCATATTTCGATCAAAGTTAATAAATCTCTTTCGTTCTGAACATACCTAAAATATTACATTTAACGACAAATTACCAAGCGCGCGGTTTTCTCAGAATAATCAAGTAAATAGATTGTTACTGTGATTACGGGGTAAAAAACTGTCACCAATATAAATAAATGTCAGATAAAGCCGAATATTAAATTCGCAAATAATAAATATCAATAAGTAGTTTGTTGTATTTTAGTTCATTGTTGTTTTTTATTCTTTGCCATTATATAGGTATTATAAAATTTGTCAAAAAAATGTGTTATTTTTTTTAAATATATAAATTATTTATCTAGAATAGATGAAATGAGGGCGGAAGTGAGGGCGGAAGTGAGGGCGGGAAGTAGAGGTGTGTAATGTGACACTTCCCAACATTCAATGACGTTAGTAATGACAACATTACATATATGGTTGTAAATAAAGTTAATTTACCAGATTAAATTCAATATTAACTTGTTCCTTGACATGTTCACTTTTTACTGAATAAACTAATTCATTTTTATAAATATATATGTTGAATATTATTTTTTTTTAAAGGTTACAATAATTCTCTTTTACCTAAATTTTATATAAGTTTTAATTAATTTCCTTTTGATAAAGCTAGAGTTTATAATTCTCACTCTAAAAATAAAAATAGATAATTTTGGCGCCCCTCTATCCCAGAAAACTATTATCCCCAAAGGTGTCTATTAGAAAAGCCGAATTCACGACTGAGGAAACTATATGGTCAATGTGCTCATTTCTTTTTAATTTGAATAAAGGTAAGTAATGTTTAGTGTTAAATTTCTATGAGCTAGTCAAAATTTCTTATAAGTGTTTTGAAATTAACATTTTATTGCAAAGTAACGCCGAGCAATTACACTCTTTAATACCGAATCAATAAAAACAATGTTTTTTATTAAAATTATTGATACTACTTACCTTAGTGCTATCGTATTCATTGTACTTCACTATGAGAGTGTCGTAATTATCCGACACAACTTCCTCCCTCTGCTGCAGCAACGCCTTGTACTCCTTGATAGTACTTTTAAGATTATTGCTGGAATCTATTAATACGTTATAGGCTTCTAAATGTATCTGCGGCGATTCGTTAATTCTGCTATATATCTTATTATTATTACTCACTGTCGGTAGGACGGGATCCGTTAAAGAAGAACTTTGGGCCGTTCTGGTTTTGTTCCAAGACTTCGAGTGTTTCGGTGCGCTAAAAAAAATATGTAAAGTCAGTTCTGGAATTTAAACATTTTTTTTTAATATAATTGACAATGCAAAACGCATAGTAAACATGTAGAAACGTGTACAAATATGGATGGTTTTAAAATGTAACCGTTTCTAAAGAGTAACGCACGAGAATGGTAACTTGTAAATTGTTACCTGACAAAAATTAAAGTTTTTAAACCATCCACATTTGTTAATAGTTTACTTTAAATGAAGTATTTTATATTTAAAAAAATGAGGATGTCTTGATGATGGCTTAATATCCGAAAGCGCTTGACATATTAATAAAACATTTACCTATTTAGAAATACATCTCTTCGTGTATAGGTAGTGTTTAGATAAAAGAGACCAGAGGGGTAACACACACCGGTGTTTAACCTGCGCGAATATTGCCAATTTCAAAAGAAAGGTTAACGGAGTGGGAGAACTGGGAGGAGACCCGAACTCTGTGACAGGGATGAACTTTGTTTATTACCATCATAATGAACTATTAGATTTACTAAAAAGGTGTTTAATAGAATGTTGTAATATGAAATAAAATTAACGTGATTTTCTAATATCAAACAGATGCAACGACATTTTATATAAAGAGAAGACAATAGTTCTTTTATAGAATATTTCATTGGCTTTTATTTTCTATGGACTACAATAATATGTTGAAATAAAATACTGTTATTCGAGCAATACTCATTGGCTACGACTATTATAATAGCAGCATGTGCGTAGGTAAATAATGCAAATCAAACCTTGCGAGTTGAACATTATATTTTCTCTACGGCTATTACATAATATTAAAAATTAGTCAGAATGAGAAAATGCTGTACAGTAACCTCAGAAAAAGAAATTAAAAACCGATTGACCTATAAATCGGTGTTTCCAAAAAATAGTAAACGAATTATCGAATATTTTAAATATTCTATTTTTTGTTCGTATTTCCTTTAAAATAGATTTTCGATAATCTTCAAAATATCCAAAATAATATATTAATCAAAAATAATCGATTAAATCAAAAATAATTTATTTATTAAAAGCCAACTAACATTCAAATCGATTAAAAAAAAATAACCGAATTATCGATTATTTTAAATAATCTATTATTATAAAATATTCTATTTTTTACGTAATTCCTTTAAAATCGATTATCAAAAATATCGATTATTCAAAAATAATCGTTCAATCGAAAGTAATTAATTAAGAATTCTCGATAAATCGGTTAAAAAAAAAACGAATTATCGATTATTTTCAAATATTCTTATTTTTTGATATTTCTTTTAAAATTGATTATTCGATTATCTTTGAAAAATCGAAAATAATCGATTAATTAAAAGAGGAGATTAAACAATAAATATATTTTTTATTAAATCTGTTTTCTTTTTGTATTTCCTTTAAAATATATTATTCCAATATCTTTGAAAAATCTAAAATAATCGATTAATTAAAAACCGATTATCCTATAAATCGGTGATTCCAAAAAATTATAAACGAATTATTGAATATTTGAAATAATCTATTTTTTGTTCTTATTTTCTTTGAAATAGATTATTCAATAATCTTTCAAAAATCGAAAATAATGGATTGATAAAAAATACTTGATTAATCAAAAATAATTTATTTATTAAAAAGCCGATAAACCTTTAAATCGATAAAAAAAATAACCGAATTAACGATTATTTTAAATGATCTATTTTTTGTATTTCCTTTAAAATTGATTAATTGATTATCAAAAATAATCGATTGTTCGAAAATAATCGGTAGATCGAAAATAATCGATTAATAGAAAATAATCGATAAATAGAAAATAATCGATTAATAGAAAATAATCGATAAATTAAGAAGCCGATTCTACGATAAACCGATATTAAAAAAAATAAACGAATTATCGATTATTTTCAAATCTAATTTTCTTTAAAATTGATTATTGAATTATCTTCTAAAAAACAAAAATCTAATATATTCGATAAATCGATAATAATCAAAATGCCGATAACCCGATAAAACGATAATTCTAAAAAAAACCAAAATATCGATTATATAAAATAACCGATTATATTCGAACAATCAATTATTTTCAAATAAATTTTTTTCGTATTTCCTTTAAAATAAATTAATCAAATACCTTCGAAATAATTGATTAATTGAAAAAGGCGATTAAATGATAAATCGATATTTCAATAAATCTATTTTCTTTCTGTATTTCCTTTAAAATGTATTCCATTATCTTTGAAAAAAAAAACGAAAATAATTTATTGAAAATATTCTATTAATCGAATATAATCGATTAATTAAAACGAATAATCGATTTTCATAAAAAATAACAAAATAATCGATTAATCGATTACTTTTGTAACCCCTATCAGCCGCTTGCTTTTATCCGAGCAAATTTAAAGATTCGCATTTTTTTGATCCTGTTATCTTTAAAATTGAAATCGATTGTATAATAAATAATAAATATTGCAAGAATTTAGATTTTTTAGTAAACAAATTTTTTTTTCGAGTTGTTAAGGGGTTTATAATGTAACATTTACTAACAATGTGACTAAGTCCCGTAACTTTAGTATTTTTTTGCTTATACTAGATAATGTGTCTTTTTATTTTTTTTAAAACTAAATATTCAAATGTCACATCCGATTTGACCGCAAATAAGATAAACTTTAGGCATTTTCGGAAATCTACTATAGACACATACTTTGATTTTCTTTTACTATACGGAGAATGGTCGCACTGCGCAGCTTTCTGAGTGCCTTTTAAAAGGAGATAGAAAACTCCGCCATTTTGAACCCTTATTACGTGGATGCAGAAGCGGATGATTAAGGAGGTCCTTTCGCCACACCTCTCGCCTCAGATTTAAAAAAAAAGTTATTAGATTATGACTAAAATTAATTTTTTTCTAATAGTTGAAGTCCTTATTTATCTAATACTTAACTTTTAACTATACCTTCCCTTGCAAATTTTTGAGAATTTTTTTTTAAAAATGTGAGTATTTGTACAGTGCCTCACGAGAAAGTAAGTCCTCAACAACAATTCTCGAATTATACTATTATTTATTGATTAGGTGGAGTAGAAAAAAACTAAAAATAAGGTTTTTGAAATATTTATATATATTTTATACAATAAAATATATATAGTAAACCGTGGAACTTATTGAGAAATTAATATTAAAAAATCACAAAAAAATTTCAAGTAACCTAGTTGAAAATTTTTTTGTGATTTTTTAATAATAATTTCTCAATAAATTCCACGGTAACCTATATATTTTATTGTAAAAAACAAAACCTAAATATTTCAAAAACCTTATTTTTAGTTTTTTTCTACTCCATCTAATCAATAAATAATAGTAAAATTAATTATAATTCGAAAATATTACTATTAGAAAAAAATTAATTTTAGTCATAATCTAATATTTTTTATTTAACATTGGTGGCGAAAGGATCTCCTTAAAACGCACCTTTTGCTTGCTGCTGTCAGTGAATATTATTTTTGAAGTCACAGTTTATTGCTAAAGAATCAGTTAGCTCACTCGGACCAGTTGAAAATAACATCTACTCCAGGGATACAAATTCAATATACGCAGAAGACTGCTGTTTTACTATAGGCAGTTGTCATATATTGTATTATCCGAGTTGCACAGTGTATAAACTGAAACATTGAGATCCAAAGTGCCGACGCAGAGTGAGCGATCTGATTCTTTAGCTGTAAACTGTGTCACAGGGTTCAAAATGGCCGCGCCCTATGTTGGGCGTGTCGGACCTCTCTCTTGCCTCGTATAGTAATCAAAGTATGTGACTATAGATAACAAATCCAGATTACTGGGTTTACCCGATGGATTACGTGGATCACTGAACTTAGTGCCGACAATTTACGAACGAGTTGATTATTGTTCCTGTTCATCTACGTCTGTCAATCTTTGACGTTTCCCCCTTATTTGTTAAAGAACCATTTTAATTATACATATTTGTAGTCTGACTAATAAAGTCGCTATATGGGCATATATATTACAAGTTATAACTAATTAAAGATAGAAAAAATTTCAAAGCTACTACTGGCAGTCACCAAACACCAAAAAATTGCGTTATCCCTTTATAAAATCCTGCGGTACGCTCGCGGATCTATAACTAATCTACTCGTAGAGTGGGTCACAAAATATTAATCTCGATCACAAAGCTAGATCAGTAATCTTCTAGTTTCCGAACACGGATAAGGTTAGTAATTATAGGTAAACGAACAAAAGGACCCACAATCTTTCTGATCCGAGTAAGTTTCCGAAAACCCCTTTTGAATCCTGTATTTTTTCTAATATTCTTATACAAAAGCCTCATAAAAATAAAATTTCGCTAGTATCCATGCTTCTTTACTTATAATTTATCTACCAAAATGGGCCAAAAACCACCTTTAGTAAATATTCTTTTAAAACTACTCTTTAAAAACAAAATTAGTAAAACAAGGTTTCCAAATTTTGACACAGAAGCACCATGTCGTCTCTTTCTGGTGTATATTCATTTATGTTTTAATTGTCTCATTATTAAGCACAAGGTTAAAAGATTATATCCTTATATAGACAAAGCTTGTGTTGATCTTAATTAACAAATAAAAAAAATCTTTAGTAATGGAGAGGCATTTGTGAGCACCATCAAAACATCGTCATCCTCTCACAATTTATAGGTAGTCGAAGATTCGAGTGGTATACTGTAACAGGTATTAAAAGACAATACTTCTTCTGTACTTACCAACTTTGCATATATCGAAGTAGTCCCTTCCTGAAAAATAAATACGTATGGTTTTTACAAAAGTTGCCTAAAAAGGTACTGACTTAATGGCAAGATAACTTACTTTATTGAGGGCTGGTGTAAGGCAGTCAACGCTGTATGAACAGTCAAAGAAATGGCCGATAAATGGAAGTAATCGAACAAAATAGGCAAATGGTAATGTAGGCCGTCTATAGGTGACATGTTCAGTTGTAAAATTCTTTGAGAAACCATTACCATGGATACAGGAGAAGTGTCGCTAAACCATAGTTCCAAAATGAGAGAAAACTCGGCGCGTTCGAGGGATTCCCTCAGGTTGTTGCCGTCTACTAGCATGTGGCACCTATAAAAATTTTAATTGTTTACATTTTTTACTAGCTTAACATATAGTACTATCTGGAACTTCTTCCTAAAATGCTATATACTTTTTTTTTTTAGGATTTGCGGGAGAAAAATACGATATTAACTATATAAATAAAAATAAAGACCACAAACAAACGGAAATATCCTGAGGAGAGACATACTTTTAAAAATAATAATAAACAAACTTCACATTAACAGGGGCATTTAGAACTACGCCCATAGCAGCAATCTACTGCTAGGTCTTCCTCCATTACATCTTGTGGTGGAGAAGGAGCCTATGCGGCGGCATACAGGCTGTTAACTAATGGATTTGGATGGGAACTTTCGAGAAAAGGACACCATACAATGATATTAGAGAAATTGAAACAAAATCTGGTGCTAAGAATGCCATCAGATAGAACAACTATTATTCATGACTTTAGGAAACCTTATGATATTAAAATACTAGAAAGGGCCAAAAGCTCAAAGATTAAAATCAATACAGAGGCTGGGATGAACTCAGGGAGGGTCACTAACAACATTCTTCCATGCTAAAGTAATAGCAATAAATATATTAGCCTCAATTATGCTAAATGACTCTTTTAGAGGTAAGAGGGCATTTATTATGACAGACAGTCATGAATGAATATTTGATTGCTAACAGTTCCTCCTGCAGGCCCTGACAGAATATAACAAAGTCACTCTTGAATGAATGTCAGGACATGAGGGAGTGTGCGCAAACGAAATAGCAGACCTCCTATCTAGGACATGAGCTAAGAAAACTTTAACTTGACCAGAACCCACATGTGGTATTTCATATGAACATGTTAAATGGGTGCTAACGGGACAGATAAATAAAGAACGCCATAGGCTCTGGTTGGAACTTCCTGGACTTAGACAGTCCAAAATATTCATAGAAGGTCCATCCAAAAGTAGACAAAATCAACTGCTAAACTTTAGCAGAAGTGGACTAAAGGCCGTTAGAGGACTCCTTACGAGGTACTGCGACCTTAGAAGACTTCTAAACCTCTTACGTATATCTGACTACTCCCTATGTAGAATATGTGAAGAGAAGAATGAAACTCCGATTCACATACTATGCCGGAACCTTAAAGAACCTGAAGCCAAGTTAAAATAAAAAGGTAAGTAGAATGTTATATTTATTGTAAGTAATCAATGATTTAACAAAGCTTTGATGCCAAGAAAGTCTACTTTTGTTTTCAATTTCTACCATGTATCTGCGGACTAAAAAATTACTGTACTATCAGCAAATCCTAATATATCTTCTTGATATTTGATGGAGAATATTTAATTTAAAAACATATTAAACAGAATGGGTCCCAAGTATTTTACTTCCATGTTTTTACTGTGAACATCTAAGTGACGTACACTCTGTGTCCTTCCCCCTTCCCCTGCTACCCAGATGGGTCTATTGTGGCTCATGACTAACTTATAGTTTACCATACAATCCACACCTTTTGATATAGGTCATGGTTGAATTGGGTGAGACGTCTTTAAAGTCGGTAGGCTCCAGTCGGGTAAATCCGAAGATCTGGAATCTGGTTCTTTCCAGAGCGGAGCAGGTACATAAAATGTGCTCTGCGGACTAGTCCTCCACGCTGCAGAATCGACAGTCCGATGTTTGTTGCAGACCTATCCTTCTCATGTGGTTGCCCAGACGGCAGTGTCCTGTCATCAGTCCGGTGAAAATGCGTAGATCTCTCCTACTCTATTCTCGGATCTGAGCAGAGGCGTTCATGGAAGGGTTGGTTATAAACGCCTTCGAATGGGTTAGCCCTGGGGTATCTCTCCAGTTCATGAGTGTTGCACCCTCCGTCCATTTTGAGATAATTCCTTTGGCAGTGCTTTTTGCAATGCCCAGGAATGGTTCTGGTCCTATGAACACAGATTCGGTTCCTCTTTTAGCAAGTGCGTCGGTTTTTTCATTGCCCTCCACACCACTGTGTCCCGGAACCCAGATCAAAGTAACTTTGTTCCGGGCACCGAGACACTCTAGGGTATTTATACAGTTACAAACCAGCTTTAAGTCAACTCTATTGGACCTCAGGGCCTTAAGGGCTGCCTGGATATCTGAAAAGATCTTTATAGTCTTGTTTGCGGGGAGAAAATTGATCAACTCTCTCGCTCCTAATTCTATAGCAATCATTTCTGCTTGGAAGATCGTGGCCAGAGAGCCTAGGTTTATTGGCTCTGGCTTCTACTCCTTTTTCAGTTTTGGAGCCGTCCGTGTACAACGCATAGTCTGCCTGGAAGAGGATTGTTCCCCCTTTGCTCCATGCGTCTCTCTGGAATGAGGACGCTGTATGGCTTTTCTATGTGCTGTCGGGGAACTAGCGAGTCCGAGACTATGCCGGGGATGGGGTGATTAATAATTTCACTCATCAGCCCCGTCTTATCCCACCGCAGTTCTTCGTAACAATGACTACCCACTTTCAGGAGCCTGTAGGAGACCATTCTGGCCTCCCTTTCCAGCAGAATGTGGAGAGGAGTTAGGTCCAGCATGGTCTCCATGGCTCCCGTAGGTGTAGTTGACATTGCTCCAGTTTTGCTCTGGCCGTCCGTTGGAGTCCCTTGTTCCACCAGACGACAGAGCCGTACGTAACCATGGGTTTTACCACTGTTTGGTAGATCCAATAGATCAGTTGAGGACTGATCTTCCATGCTTTGCCGCATATCCTTCTGAGAGTTCAGAGGGATAATCTGGCTTTGTTAATGGTTTTATCCAATTGGGGGTTCCAGGTGAGTTTTTTTATCTAGGGTGATTCCCAGATATTTCACCTCCTCCGCAAAAGAAATGGTTTCCCCAGCCAAGGTGGGTTGTCGAAGCTTGTCGAGCTTCCTTCTCTTGGTGAAGGGAACAATAACAGTTTTGCAGGGGTTAACAGACATCTACTCCCTCTCGTACCATCTGTGGATCGTATTAAGGGCTTGTTGAAGGATGTTGGAAATCACCTCTTTGAACTTTCCCCTAATTATGATCAACCAGATCGTCCGCATAGCATTGGAAATCCACCCCCTGTCGGGAGAGATCGTCTAGCAGGTTATCCACCAGAATAGTCCACAGTAGGGGTGAAAGTACGCCGCCTTGTGGACATCCTCTAGCAGGCCTGAAAGTGACAGTCTCTGCTTGCAGTGATGTTCCGGTTTGCCAGCATGCTTTTGATCCAATTATAAGTTAGTTTGTCGATTCCTCTTCTTTCAATAGAAGAGAACAAAGACTAAGGAAGTGCGTTATTGAACGCGCCTTCTATATCTAGGAAGGCACCTAGCGCAATCTCCCTGTGATTTAGGGAATGGCCGATTTTGCCTACTAGATTGTGCAGGGCATGATCTGTCGATTTGCCTGCTTGGTAGGCATATTGAGAGGAGTTTAACGGGTTTGCCCGAAAACTTCCTTCTCTAATATGCCTATCTAGAATCCTCTCTAGTGTTTTTAGAAGAAAGGATGTTAGGCAGATTGGTATTGGTAGGGAGGTATCTACTCTACCAGCCTATGTAATAGATAACTTGTAAATAGTTTTAGTGTATTGTTCCTTATTCCATTTTTCTCCTGTGTTTTAAGCAGTAAACTGTGACTAACTGTGTTAAAGGCCCTTTGAAGAATCCAAAGAAAAACAAGAATTTTGTTGTCATCTATAGGCTTTTTAAATCCATACTGATTTGGTGAAATTATTTTGCATTTTTGAACCAAATAGTTAACACGTTTTTCTATTATCTTTTCGAAGACCTTTAACAAGCTAGTTATTAAGAAATAAATGATACGATTACCAAATCACATCTAGATAGACAACAGTGCAGGGCTACATTACAGCTAAATCAAGGCTAAATCCCATAAAAACAAAAGGCATAGACCATAACTAATTCCCACATTGATGACTAAGGAGGAACAATATATTGAACAATTGAACAAAGACAAATTGTCCATTGCATATCTGATAAAAGTAGCAGGGTTGAATAGTACATCTACTGTCAGTAATGACTTATCCATTCAATAGTATAAATATTTTAAAGAAAGAAATAATTTTGACACCGTTTCGGAGAAGTAAAATTTTTTATTTTTAAATTGTTTCGTTTGTACCTGAATAGAACAACATCCTTAAGGGTAACTTCTTCATTTCTGTAAAGGATCTGAAACGGACGACAAGCTCCATAATTTCCTAGAACGATAGCAGTGCCCAAGCCCGTAGTTACTTCCGGTGTAGTTACTTCAATTTCAACGTTTAACTTTGATGAAACACGTAGGGCACATCGAACCTGATACATTCTGAAAAATAAATGGGTCGAACTAAATATTTCGGCATATAAATGATTTATATTTAATTCTACCAAGAAATAATTAATGATATATTTTGTTTTCAAACTGAAGAGGCTTAAAGTTCCAATCACGTGCATATACCGGAAATGGATGGCTATAATAATAATTATAGTTAACTTTGGGTAGAGTAGGTCAATTAAAATTATGCATTTTAGAGTACTACCGGCAGTTAATACTGTTAATAGCAGCAATATTGTTCATCGCTAATTTTGCAGTAGCTAATACACACATTTTTCTTTAAATTAATTATGCTTTAGCCATACAGGGTGTTTCATTAACCAGAGATACTACGGTTCAAATAAGGTTCAAATAATGAACGTTTTGTCCCGAAATGTCTTATGCGAATAATAATAATTTAGGAAATACAGGCTATTGAAAGTGTCAAAATCATAACATATTTTTGACTGTAAACAAATATTGAATACGTTTCTATATCAGACACGAGCCGTTAGTATCAAATACCATTATTTAAAACGCAGTTGCACCTGAAACAAGCAATTATGGGCAAAAGAATTGTATCGTCACTAAAAGTCATGCCATATAAAACCTGCCAAAAGATAAAGCTACGTTGGACAAAATCACTGGTTCGACCTCAGAGAAACGGGCGTGACTTAACAATTCGCGCCTCCAAAGTTCACCTAACAGCTTTAAAAATCATTTAAATATTCATTCTTTATTTATCGGTCTCACAATTCACCTTAGCAGAAGTCAACACAATGCGGTAGTGAATTACATATACAGGCATATACATCTAAATCGATATATTAGCAATTTTATCTTAACCTAAATAAATTAAAAGCTTAAAACTAAGAAATTACCCATAAGCCTCTTTTAGATACTATCTGTTTTTTGGTTTATTTTTTTCTATATGTACCCATTTGTGCTAACTTAAACTACTTCTTCAGTGTTAAGTCCATCTACTGAATTCGTTAATGCCTTCTTGTAGCTTTTCAGTGAATGCATTTACATTTGCTCATATTGCTTAAATAGCAGTGTCATAAGCAAAAGTAGTTTTGAAAATAATAGTTTCTAGTATATCGTAAGTAAATAGTGTAACCTTTTTTAATTTAAAAATAGTTTACCCAAAACAATTTATTTATAATTTATTTATACTAATTAATTTATTTAAGTCTTAGGCACTATTATAACTCACAATTCTAATTTATTTATTACAATTTATCTATACTATCCAACATTTAAATTGAAACTTAACGTCTATTGACAAACTCGCACTATTTATATAAAGCCAGCTCTGCGTTAGTACATTATCGACCGTCCAGAAACTCTGGAGTTTCTTTATCTATGACTATCAAAACAGACGAAGCAACAACTAACGGCAAAGGGCCAGAGTCGGCTTAAGGTGGTTCACGACAATAGTAAATACAAGAGAGTACCAAGGACGCTCCATTGTGGTACTCCTGCTTTAGTTGGTTTTAATTCAAGTGTTACTCCTCTTATATCACTCTGTAAAATGTATCTGTTATGTACATGTAGATAGCAAACTTACTTGGAACCAACACTTACAAAAAGTGACCAATAAATGTAAAATGTCTCTAATTGTAGGGAGACGGGCATTTGGAAAAACATGGGGATTTAAACTAAAAATGGTTCACTGGCTCTATTTGGCAATAACAAGACCCATCATAACTTATGGGCGGTTGTTTGGTGGCCAAAAGTAAACCAGAAAACAGCCTTCAATACCTTCTCAAGAATTCAGAGGCTGGCATGCCTTTATATTGCAGGAGCACTGAGAAGTACAACGACAGCCTCTATGGAAATCATTCTAAACCTCCCACCCCTTGAACTAGTCATAAAGGGGGAGGCCAGAATGAGTGCATACAGACTGGAAATCTCCAACAACTGGAACCCACTGGGACATATAAAACATTTCAGAATAACAAATGAAGTAAATGATTCTATATTAAACATGGGATCAGATCACATGACACACCTCCTAACCTTCAACAGGCTCTTCCAGGTCAACTGGAAGGAGGTAAATAAGGAGATATATAAATACTTGCTTAGCGGTCTCGTATGGTATACGAATGGATCTAAAATTAACAAGGGAATAGACTCTGGTGTACATGGAGTTAAACCCAAATGAGATATCATCGTCTCATTCAGGTGCCTGGACCATTGGAGAGAGGACGAGAAAATAGAATTATTAACGAAATTCATCTAATTAGAAAGTAAGAATAAGCAAGATATCTATTTACAAGGGCTAATGGAATATGAGAAACCTAAACGCCGTATGTCGAAAGCTAACAGCAAAAAAAGCAAGAGCCAAAAACTTGAAGTATTGTCTGATTCAAAAGGATAGTAGATTTGCTGTTTGTAAAATGGTATTTCTAATGACATTTAGTATTACAAAAAAGAGAACTGAGCGCTTGGGCAATTTATTATTGAAAGAAGCTCTTGCGATTTACGAAGAAAACAACGGAGTGCAAATGCTATCTCTTCTGAAATTTTATCCAAAGTAAATGAACATATTACCTCCTATCCAACTAAAATGTCATTACCTTGACGCTACCTTGAATGTTCTAAAAATGTACAAAATGTACAAGGAACTGTATCCCACTGACAAAATTTCATATGAATCTTACTGGAGATATTTTAAAGAAGATTTTGATTTAAAATTTGGTAGACCTCAGAAAGATACTTGCGTTGCCTGTGAGGAGCTAGGGAAAAAATCAAAAGCGCCTCTTTAAATGAAAATACTAAAGGAGTTGCTGCAGCAGAATTAATAGTGCACAAAAGAAGGTCTACGAAATGTTATTCTGCGGTCAGAGAAGCTTTCTAGGAAAAAGATTACACCGCAGCATCTATTGTTGTTGATTTTATGGTAAATGATTCTTTGCCTATGATATCCTTCCAAGATCTTTACTATCTTAGAAAACTGACAAATCAGACTTGCGCGATTTAGGTGGCTCAGTGGTAGAGTCTCTGCCTGCGAATCCAAGTGTGCCAGATTCAAATCCCACCGTTGGCCGGGATTTTTTCATTTAATTGAATTATTTAAAATTAAGTCTGATGGCTTGGTAGGATTCCCCACTCGACCATTCATTGTTGGGTTCTAATTAACAGTGCCGTTCCTGAAGTGGCGCTGGAAAACATCAACAAAGCCTATACAGAACACACATGATTGAGAATTTAAACACAAATTGAGACTGGTATATTAGGTTTATACACCTATGTAGGTCCTATCGAAAAAATAAAACTGAAAACCATGGTTTGTTATGTATATCATAAGGGAGAAGGAGGAAAAGGACCAAACGATGTTGGCACTATTGAGACATATATTTTAAATAGGCCGAATATCAATAAACTAAAAATATTTGCAGATAACTGTTTTCAGGACTGTTCGTTGAGATGGGAACGCTAGAGTCAATACAACTATTTTTTCCTATTAAGGGGCACTCATTTTTACCATAAGACAGGAATTTCGCTCTGATTAAAAGAAAGCTTAGAAATGTTGACAGATTATTCACGATTGACGAATACGTTAATATAATTTTGAGCGCTTCGAATAAACCATTCAAGTTTTCGGTACATGTTTTAGATCACACAGCATTCCTAGAGTTCACTGAATGGTGGAAAACTTTCTATAAGAAACTGAAGAAAAAAGAGAAACAGACTTTTCTTATCCCTAACTTTTACTATTTCAAGTGTTCCTCTGTAGAATCTTATTGGATAGAGTGCATGGTATTTATTGGGGGACTAATGGTACTGAAGGTTAGACTATGAAAGCTATCTCACGAGGTTCTTGGAACTTCCTCACCGTAAAGCCTACGCTGACAAAAAACCACTGATGAAAGTCAAAGTTGAAGATTTTAAGAAAATGATAAAATACATTCCGGAAGAATACGTAGAATTTTATAATGGACTTCTTGTTTGGCCAACCATGAGAAAAAGTGAAGAAGCCGAGTAACCAATACATCCTATTAAATATTTTGGTTTGATGTTAGACTGTTGGCATGTATTTTGAATTTATTTTACTATTTTTGTGAGTAATAAAGCATTTTCACACAATATACGTGCCAATTTTTTAGAAATATTAATAATGGGTTAACAGCAAAAAGGGGACCTCTACAAAATATGCAGAAGCAGATAAGTCAAAAATCATAAAAAAAAAACAAAAATTAAAAGGACTATCTTTCATACATGCTAAAAGGTAAATTTGTACCCCAATATTTTGTTCACAAATACAGTTTTACCGCGTTTAAAAAGTTTTTTACTTCTAGTGAATAATTCAGTTTTTAGCAGAAATTCCCTTATTGCAGTTAGCGATTCTTACATGACAACCGTCAGCTATTCTGACCTAAGAATATATATAGTCAGGAAGGAGGAATCCTAAACGACCTTGGAATCGCGATGGTATCTAATTTTGACAGTGAACTAGACGAATATGGCGACAAGTGTTTCCGGTCTACCAGTCGTACTACCATAAAGAGGCGTAGAAAAGAAAATAATAAATTCTCAATTGCATATTATCTAAATTTACCGATTTCTCTCATTTTAACGAATGGCTATTTTCTTGCAAGAAGTTTGCATTTTTTTTTATTAACCATTATGTGAATAAATTTTACTTTAAAAATGCATGTTGGGTGGGATAAATATAGGAAAATATTTTTTGGATAATTTATAGAGGGATTTCATTTGAAAAATCAAAGCAATAATGTATTTAAAATAAAAAATATTGACTTTTTTGTGTCTTTATTATGACAATGTCTTTATTAATCTACATTTTACAAATTATTAAGGTTTGAAAAATAAATATGTTTTGTAGATATGCGTTAAAAAAATTAAATATTTTATACTTATATTTAGGTCAAACACCGCTGTGATATTTCTTTCTTAGATGTGTTTTTGGTGTACATATAAAACTTCCTAATATCGAAGAGAATTTCTAATCATTTTATTACATAATATTATTAGTAATATTTTTTGCAGAACAATTTTGCATAAGCAGGTAAACCACATTTCCAAGAAAGGATCCTATAACGTAATAATGATTCTATGAGTGCAAAACAGATTATTTTTAAATGTACATTCAACGCATTATTTGTATGCTTAGTACAGTTATGATGAGAGTCAATTTGTACTCTAAGGTATTTGATATCATTTGTAATACTTATATGAAACTACTTAACGTTACCTTTTATTGTTTCTATAGGAAGAGGCCCTCTTTTTGTAACTGTAACAACATAAGTTTTATCAAAAGTTTGTAAGTTTTTATAATTAAACCATTCGAAAAGATCTGTTTCTATTAATAATTTTAATCAATTCCAGTGCTCTGCATTTTACAGAATAACTGTGTCGCCTGAAAAACTTACAATATTTCCATCTGTATTTTAACGAAAAATTATTTAAAATAAAATTAAACAAGATAGGACCTAGGACAGTATCTTGAGGCATGCGATATGCTACTTATTACCTTACTTGATATATTATTAATTCTATTTGTGTTCGTTTTTGTAAATAACTTTGTAATAAATTATATAGGGCGCATCACATTCATACAATAAACTTCTATTATACGAAAAAACGGCACATGATATAATTAGTAAATTATTTATTTACTTATATACTTCAACTGGACCACTTTTATTGTTGGAACAGCTGTTGGTAGAAGTCTTATTCTTAGTCTTCGATCAAAACAATCTGCTTTAAAATGGCGTGAACACAAAAAATTAAGATATTTTGGCTCACAATTTGTTTGTTGCATGAACTCAAGCCATAACTTTATTTTTTGAGAATCTTTAGGAAATCTGAAAATTGTCTACCTGGGATTAATTTATATAATTTGTATATCTAGAATCTTTAAGAATTCTGAAAATTGTTTACTTGCAATCAATTTATAAATCTATATTGAAAAATAATTTATTCATTTTAACAACCACATAAATATCTTAAAATTGCATAAAAAAATTATTTAAATAAAAGTATGTATACCGTATAAACCATGCGACTACGCCTATGAGCACAGTTTATCGCAGTCGCATTTACCATGTTTGGTCACAAATTTAAAACATTAAACATTTTAAAAATCTTTAATGTGGTTGAAAGAACAAAATATTTGCTCATGAAATGTAGATTATTCCTTTCTACTTTTAGCTGTGCTACTATATCCACAAGAACAACTGACCATATTTTCTTGTTTGTCTTTTAACGCGGAAAATTTAAAATTAACAGTAATACTAAATAAATACTGAAAAACTGAACACTTTTTAAAAATGTCTACAAAACATACGCTTGATAAAAGTTTAAATTAACACATAAAACATCCAAATTATTAACAAATTTTAATCACTAAAATTATAAACCAATTTTAGAAATCATTTATCATATGATAATGAGTCATTTATAGTAGAACATGGCTACACTTCCGTCAGATCGATTAGATTAACGCGGACATGGCATGCTCCTTCCTGACTATATATGTTTTCTAAGATTCTGACTGTTATCGTAACCGACATTTGCAAGTAGCAGTTTCGTATAAATAGCCACTAGCTATTTATTGTACATACGTAGAACGATTATTGACAAATTTAGAGTTTAATATTTTCTTTATTAGTTCTCAAAAATTGATTTATTTGAATACATTTTCCCAGCGACGATGATGAAAGAAATTATTTTAATTATTGAATATGAGCCATTGGAAGAAAACGGTCCAATTATGTCGTTATCGATGAACTTATCAAATTTTTCGATTTTTTTTGCAACGTTTCTTATTTCTTTTTCGTCATATTGCAATTTTTGTTTTTGTTTACATTACACATACGCAAATTTCAATAATAGGGCTCTATCTGATGCTGCGAAATTGGGTGTTTCCTTTGTTCTAAATCATCAAATAGGTAAAAACATAAAATAGCACCTGTCCTTAACAAAAATACGCTAGTTCGGTGTGATGTCATTTTGGTTCCACTGACATTTAATTCTAACCAAACTTTTAATAAAAACATCAATAAATTTGACATATACGTTTTTACTGTTTTTTGTTTATTTCTAAATATTGTTTACAGGTCATAAACAATAGTTTAAAGGTATGTAATTGGTAACTAAACGATTGTATATTTGATGCATGTTATCTACTTACTTTAGGAATATATTTATAAAAGTGAAAAAACGATATAATTTAGGTAAACAAAACGAATAAAACGCTCTCAAAAAAGCTACTGTCACTTTAATTGTCAGTAGAACCATAATTACATCATCACTGAACTAGCGTATTGAAACAAAATTGAACAATTTTTTATAAGAAGGTCGGTATGTAAAGCGGCAAATTTAAATTGTCCAATAAAAATCATTTAATAAATTAGCAGAAATGCCAACCTCTCTAAGAATAAATAATAACTATTAGCTGTACGTAGCTAGCAGTGACGATAAAGAGTTCCATCGGTAACAGGGAATTCGACTGCCAACTACGATATAGCTGTCGGCTACGTAACAGCCACTTTTGACTGGACATTGAAAAACTGGCCCTTAGTTCCAGTTATCTGTAAATCATTTTAATTGAGTAACATTTTTCTTACTGTCAATTTTATTTAAATAAACAAACAGTCTTTTATTTGGTCTTGCCATTTTGTGTATTTGCTGTCTACGTTTGTTGTTGTCACATTTGTTTGTAAACTAAAACAAAAATGGAAATAATGATATTTGACGCATGAGAGTAATTAATTTCCTAAGTTCCGGACTATAATACTGTATGTATTTATATTTACTAAAAAATATCCTGTTATTTTTATTAGTGTACTCTTTGGTTTTCCCTTGTGGCAAGAAATTATGGTATGTTTTTCAACGAAATTATTCCCATTTGTCATCGTTAAATATATCTTTCTTATTTTCTTCATAGTCAACAGTTTACTTTTTTAACAAGTTAAGCACTACCTCTTTTTTGTAATTTTCAACGAAGTCTACATTTAACTGTTGGTTAAATGAATTTTGTTAAAAAAATATGTTAATATTTATTGGTAATATTATCTACTTATTATTGTTATTTAAAAATTTCTTAAATTTATTTTTTCCATAATTTATAAGATAATTAAGCACACGTTTCTCTTATCCACTAGGCGTGCCAAAAGATGAGGTAATATTTAACTTCGAAATGGATCGAAATAAATTACAAATCATTGTAAGATCAAAAGGACTACTATTTTATTAACCTTAAAAACTCAACTCACACATAACTATCCCCAGTATAAATAATGATACTGTATCTATAATTCACCCCGTTACGTGTAAAGCTTTGAAGAGCTTGCGAGGGGAGAAATGGCTTTTATTAATATTTACCTTGGCGCTCATATGCGACCTACAGGATGATGGCGCCATTTAACCTACAGGTGAGGAAAACCTGGAAAATTCCACCCCACTATCATTAATAATAAGTGGAGTAATACATTTAAGAGTTAATTGGACATTTTTGATTTTAACTATGTTGTTTGAGGTACTGATAAATGATTTAATTTTAGAGGATATTTGGCATTCTTTAAAACCACATAAAAAGACAAAGGATACTATTGAGAAAAAAAAAAGACTATTATTTGAAATGTAAAATCGCCAAATAGAAACATTTTTAGTCCAAGATTTCTATCCATCTCGAATCACCTTGTAAAATATTTTTATTGATTTTATAGTTACCCTAAAAACATGTTTTTCGAGAATGTATTACGTTCTCTTTCCTTCTGTTTTCCCAGAATCCAATGAATTTCCTTTCTTTGTCAGAATGTGATGATTTAAAGTATCGTCATAATTCATTACTAAACTACCCTTTATACTCACCCTCTTTGAAATAAATCAACATTGTAAAATTTGAATAGTTCCACTGAAAATTCTATTGTTGACTGCAACTCACTCATAATATTGAATGGGCTAGGTTGTGTATTTGACTACATTCCTGAAAAAGAAAATGGACCAATCAGAACAAAAACAACAAATTAATTCCAAGTCAGTTTTTGTATTTTGTTAAACAGACACATAAAAACCATTGATATGAGCCTGATAATTTAGCTGTAAGGCCCGTATTAGACTACAAAATATATTTGATCAAGATATTTTATAAAACATTTCATAAATAGCTCACTATTCTTCTGATAATAGTAGCTTGTGTAACAAGAGTGGATATGATGACCAAATCGTACCAAAACGAAGTTTGGGCACGACGCTGTAAGCGGAGTGCTCAATCGTCTAAGTGCGATATGGACAATCCACTTGAATTGTACAGTATATTTTTTCTACGACCCACTAACGAAAATATACAAATTTAAAAAATATTTTAGGGCTATTAAGGCAAAATAACTAATTTTAAAATAATTTATGAATTTTACTGATTTTTAAAATAAAATAAAAAAAAAATATTTATTGATTTTAATAATCTTAATTAAAATAGTTTCAGATAGTTTGATTAAAATTTATTTATTTTTTTAATTATGGACCAAATAAAAATAAAAATGGTATTATTTATCGATTCTACACAAAAATAACTCATTTTAATGAATATTTAATCTCGATAACTAAAAAATATACTGACAATTAGTTTGACAGGTTTGTCACTAATTTAAAATTTTTAAAATAATAGTAGTTGGGTATCCAAAATATGAACTGTAATTGGTGAATTTTATTTTTTTGCAGTGTTCTCACTACCTAGAATGGATATGAAATATATTCTTTTAGTTGAACGCAATGACATACTTTTTCGTTTTGTAGTTTGTGCATAAATAAGCTAATATCCATGTGGGCGTAGAAAAAATATATTTCACAACTACCATATTTTACATAAATATCTCTTATGGAACATCTTTGTCAAATATATTGCATAGTCGAATGCAGGCCCAAGCCTGATAGGTAAGTACACAGAAGCGGCTGGGACCCCTTGGTCCGGCGCGGAGAGACAATTAAAACGGCGCCGCACCGGTCCAGCAAAAAATAAAAGGGCATGAATTTTTTTTTTAATAATAAATTCATCACATCACCATTTTACAATAACTAATAAATTAAAAACAAACCTTATTTTTTCACATAAAAAACAGGTAAAAGAGAACCTACAATCATTATTACTTATAAAAATACTCGTAAATAAAAAATCTTAATTTTAACACAAATATCACATAAATAAAAGAGAAACTCTTAATCTAATCCCTACTTCAGCCACTCAGCGTTTAATTTTTATAAGGCTGTCAACACAGTTGTCAAAACTCTCTTTAAAATATCCCAGCAATAGTATGCTGTGCTTCCACGTTTTAAAGAAATCTGGTTTTTAATGGACCTTTTCATCATGTGATGAGCGCAAGCGCAGCCACCATGTTGAAATAGCGGTAATTCAAAAGTTTCGTACTGTTTTGATCGACAATGGCTGGGAAAGCAATGTTATCTCTACAGAAAAATTAATCATTAGAAAAAATCGTTGATAGTGAATAACTTTTTTATAACTCTGTGGAAGCGCATAGTTGTGAGCAGTTGAAAAGCAGGTTGAAGTGTCTTGGATGTTTGTTACAAAGGAACAAAGTGGACTAATTGAGAGGTTAGGTGTATCAATACTTTTTAACTCTGTAAAAAATTAATGAAAACAAATAATAATTATAACTTTATTCTAATTAATTATGCCAACCAACTATTACTACTTGCAAAAACACTTTAATTAGCATGAAAGTTAATCACGAGTATAATTAACAAAATAAATTATTTATTATTTTGAGGATCAACATGACATTTTTAATCATTTAATGTGTATACCGAAGTAGTATTTAATATTAAAAAAATATTGTTTAATATCACATGAGAATTTTCTTCTGTTGGACCACTTTCTCCATGAAAATGCAGTTAAATATAAGTATCTTTAGTAACATCATTAATCCATCGAAAACCGTTGTCACTTCGACCATATTTTTTCACACTTAATGCACATTTCGAATATCTTTTAATATGGATTTTGCCTGATAATTGTTTACGATATTGCAGTTAAGGCTTTGGAAAATTTATAAAATAATATCTATTGCCTTTGAATGATTTATACCGTGTGTCACTTTTACATAACAACACTGTTTCGTTGTTCCTTTCCGTACAGATAACATAATTATAATTGATTGTGAAAATGTATTTTTCAATTAAGACACTAAACTTATTATTACTTTACTTTTTTCTTCCTTTTTTTAAATGAATATAGACTTAAATTAATATTTATCAATTATAATTTTTTTCACGTAAGCATTTTAACATACTTGTTTACAAAAACAGTACGAAAAAGATTGTGATGAAAAGGTCTATGCCATGTTTAGTTCGAACTTCATTAACCAACAATACATTTAGCTATTACTTACTAGATATCGCCTCAAAATATTGAATTGAATGTTGCCTAAATCCGACGATATCTGTAGCAATGTAAATTTTTATGTGATTTTTAAATTATCCAAACTAAAAAAATATTTCTTTTCACATTCATCAATTTAGTTTCAAAAAAATTTGTATAAATGGAATGATATTTTCAGAAGTGGCGTAGCTCAGTGTAACACTTTCGAAGCAAAGGAAAAGTCCTAATGTCTATAGGAAAGTTCTGTACGTTTCTGTGACTATGTGTAGTTGGCGCACGTTCGGCTCTCTATTGTTATAGCTTAATGGCTTAATGTATATGTTACGGGCACTGTTGTAAAATGGGCATTGACGATATTGACTGGACACTAACGTCAGCAGCCATATTTGCTGGCCAATATAGTTATTATATGGACAGTAACGAAAATGCCCATTAATCGTGGACAATGTTGATATATTTTTTGACATTGACAATGACATTGACTATCAATAAGTGGGTGAAGTTGATTTTAAAGAATTTAGTACTGTGACTTAAAATTTTTGTTTTCAGGGCTTTACTAGTAAGCTTCTGTAAAATTAACAAGAAAACATTATAATTATATAACTATTAATCAGTTTTATTGGAGCATGATAATGATCCAAGACATTTGGAATTACAAATTTTTTTCTTGGCGCGACAAGAGCATTTATTGTTTTTGTACCCACCCTTACAGTGACAACGCTTATATCCTTGTTTTCCAAAACAGTGTTTTGTGTTACAGTGAGATTTCTATTCCTCTAATGGCGTCACTGATGTTTTCCAATAACATAAGCTTCTCCAAACATGGATTGAATTTAGATCTTTTGCTGTATTTTATTAAAATCCAAATCGTTGCAGCTTGCGGCCCACACATAAGTGGGCGCTAACGATAACGCCCGGGCAGAGTCGTAAAAAGGATATGTCATTTATAGTTTATCAACATTGTCCAATTTAAGAGAATATTTACGTTATTGACCGGTTATTATCAATAATGCCCAATCAAATAGGAGATTTACGACAATGACCGGCCAATATCGTTAAATACCAAATATCATCTTTGACCGTAACATATACATACTAAAAACAAAGTTGATTAACGTTAGTGAAGCGATCGTGTACCCATATGGCTACTGACAAAATTCATTTACGTCACTGTATTTTATACGAATTTCAACAAGGAAGAAATGCTGCAGAAGCATGTACAAATTTAATGAAAAAGTTTGGTGAAGGTACAGTTTTTGATAGGAGATGGTTCGAAAAATTTGAAACAGGTGATATTGACTTTTTTGATAAGCCACGGTCTAAGCGACCATATCTTTAATCGACGATGATATTGTTTGGACTATATTCGGAAGACAGGATTGGTGTGGAAATATTCAAGATGGGTGCCACATGAATTGAGTTAGAACACATTTTACAGTCAGAAAAAATTAAAGGATCGAGTCGTTATATGCACGCACATCTCTGCTTCCTCGAAACAAAATTGAGCCCTTCTTGAACCGGATGATAATTGTGGATAAAAAGTACGGAAATATGGAAAAGAGCATATTGTGAACCCGGAAAACCAAGCCCTTTTACCTCTAAACAAAATTGGATTCTGAATAAGAGAGTTGTGTATATGGTGAGACATTCGAAGACCAATACATTATGAGCTTCCAAACCGAACGAAAAGCTCAATTTAGAGAAGTATCTCAGAAACTAGATAATTTAAAAGCAGTAGCCTAAGAAAAAAGGCGACGATATTCAATAGGAAGGACATCATACTGCATCATGATAATGCCAGGCCATATGCTACTTTGAGGACTCATAAAAAAATTGCAGAACTAGTCGCATACACCATATTACCCGTTTTTTGGATTACAAATTTTTTTGAAGAGCAAACAATTCAACTTAAAAATGAAGCAGATATCAAACAAGCATTGGTTCAATTTTTCGCATCAAATGATAAAATATTTTTCAAAAAAATTCCTCAACACTGGCAAGAAGTCATTAATAGTAATGGAAATTATATTATTTATTAAAGTGTATTGACGGTAAGAAAAAATTGAATTTTGTTTTATTTCAAAAACGGACAGAACTTTCCGATAGAACCAAATATGTTATCTATGAATACAAATTTAGGCTGGCGAATGGAAATCTAAATCTAATCACACATATGAATACAAATTTCTGGAAGCACGTTCCGTATGTGTTGACTGTAGCGACTACGAATTAGAAATTTACCGGTAATGCAGATTTCCTTTAATTTAAATTTAGGCGGTAACATCAAACACCTGATAGCAATGAAAATTTGTAACTTTGTACACAAACGCAATATCAGGGGGGTTTATAGCATATGCGCATTTTGTCAACAAGTTACTGCTCATCGAAACTGGCGTACGTCCGTTTTACACTAACACAATTATATTTTAAAATATAAAATAAACAGAATAATTACAAAATATCTCAATAAAAATGTGTTAGTAGCATGCCAAAAGTAATAGTTTCACATTTTTTTTTATTAATCTATCGTAAAATTGAAGAAAAAATACGAATTTATTCAATTATTTGTATAATTTTTTGGATAACAAAACCCAAATCTCGTTAACGCTCGAGTCGACTCGATAGCCCAAACCCGAACAGTACAAAATACAGTAACAAGCAATATGGCTGTCGATGTAAACAATTATAAGTGAGTTTTAATTTTATTTAATACAGTTTTAGGCATACATTTAGGAATAATTTACTGTAAGTAAACTTATTTTGATACTTTAACATGTCTATGTCTTATAAATGCATATATTTGATTGTAATAGTAAATTGTTCTGGCCCATTTACACTGTTTTAGAACAAACATTTTTATTTTATTGTCAACTGAAAAATAGGATTATTATTAGTATTCGTAATTGTGTAATCCCCAAATATTGAAATCCTTAAAAAAGCCTTAATTCTGATATTTATTTTGATAATAATTATTCTAGATATAAGAATTTAATTATATGTAATAACCAAGCTTTTTAATCTTGATAAATCTAAAGTATTTTCATTACATAAAGCAAGAAAATCTTAATTACGCCTTTATAAGAGAAATTAGAAGTAGTACATTAAAAATTAGTTTAATCGCTGCAAATGCAAAAGTAATGAGTCACATACAATCAAAATTATGTGTTTTAAGAAGTTTTGTCGCTTTCAATGATTGTTTTTTTTTTGTTTCAGGATTTATGGATGGAACTCTGGTTTTATTTCGCATGATTAAAGAAAAATTTTGATTGTTTTGAGTTATTTAAAATAGTTGTTTATTCAGAAAATATATATAATGTTTATTGTTGTAATCAATGAAGATTCTACAAATAATATTTAGTCAATACAATTTTGTATTATTTATTTTACACCTTTAAAATTATTTAACATAAAATTTTATATTTTGTCGAAGTAAATTTAAAAGCCCACCAATTTTCAAACTAAAATAGCATTACAGCTTTCTATATTACCGACTGAGTATTAGTTGCACAAAACCATCCCATATGTCGCTGATGGCAAACATGTTGCCAAATTTCTGTGTGGACTCTGCAACTCTTAATTATCCTTCCTTCATGTTTTAAAATGAATTGTTTTACGAATATTCTATAAATTAAACACAGAAACAGCCGATCATTCGCTCCGATAATTTTAAATTTCCTGTTTTTGATAAACATTGTTACAAGAAAAATAGACTGATTTTACGAATTACTTAGCCGGAAGACGCAATACAATTTATCGCCGCCATTGTTAAATTTTGTCCGTAGTCTTTGATTTTCTTTACTCCGATAAGTAAAAACCTTGTTTTATTTTTATTTTTTTTATCGCAGAATCGTTTTATTTTAGACCGTAATTCTTTCAATTTAAAGCCGTTTTATCATTGGGTATATGAACGTTTAATTCGGTGTTGAGTTAAAAAGTGAGTTTGATTTAAATAATAAATATTAGGATTTAGTTTTTTGGAAATATAAGACCGTTGTTTAAAAGATATTGTAGTGAGAGATATTTAAGGAATTAAACTATTCTTTTTGTTAGTTTCAAGCTGGGAATTGAATTTGATTTAATTAATAAATATTAGGATTTATTTATTTGAAAATATAATGCAGTCGTTTAAGAAATATTGTAGTTAGACTGATTTAAGAAATTGAAATTTTCCTTTTAGTACCTAGTTTGAAAACCGGAAATTAAATTTTATTTAATTGATAAATACGGGCCGAACGCGGTCCATATTAGGCTAGCCGGGCATGGGAGGCATCCTTACGGGCAGAACGCGGCTATATTGCTCCATTGTACACACGGTAAGCCATGTTCTGAACCAAATACGAAAAACAATCAAATTGCCGAACGTTGCCTACTCGCTTTTCATATGGTAAATTGAGAGCGGTGGCCGCCCGGCCGCCAGTCACCCATCCGCCGATTATCGCCCGAAGATGTCCGAGCAAAAACGTCATTTACTCGGAGATATGGATACTCAATTAATTTAAGGGCGAAATTTGAAGAATATGTGAATATACCTCGATTTAAATTGATAAATTAAAAGTAAATAAAAATAAAATAATTATACATGTAAATTACATATAAGATTTTCTGAAATCTAAATTTTTAAACTTGTATTATAAGTATTTTCAGAACTATAAAAAAATTATTGAATAAAAGATTTACCAAGTAGGTAACCTTTGAAAATTATTAAAATATTCATGCAATATAATACATAGGTAACAGAAAGAAAAGCAAATATTTAACATACTATTATTTTTTTAAATTTAGCAACTTATTAAATATATGAAATCTTAATACAATCAACGCACTCGCCATAAAACTACTAATTTTCCAAACTAAATTTAAATTGCCCGCCAAAAATAAGTAGGTAATTGTGGTGGCCACTGAGCACTGCGTGCGCAATCTTCTGTTACATGTTCGATGAAGATGTCATGTCATATCATAACCCTAATCGTGCATCGTGCTTAACCTAAACGTAACACCAACGGCAAAAGCACATTTTGTCTAATTTCATTTAGGATTTTATGTTTAAAGAAAGTTCCTAGTGTTGTTTGTGGCTGTGAGTGATTTTTTGCCATGGCATTAAGTGCAGATTTCAGCAAACGACATCAGCGTCGTTTAATAGCTGAAGAAGTGAAATGCATAATTGATGAATGTACCCCGAGTACATCGCAGGCCTACCAGGTCAATCGAACTGATTATACTGAAAGTGTGGAAAAATAAAGTTATTCAGCATTATATTAAATATTTACAAAAATGTTTTTAAAAGGTTCATTATGCCCATTCTTTAAAATAATTATCTTAGGGTTTGTTTATAAAGTGATTTGCAGTAACACATTTTCTAAGAAGAATTGTCACATTTTGAATATATATGTTTTTAAATTTAAATATAACTTAAAATTTTAATTGTGCAATATCAAATTGTATACTTTTTCACCTTGAAAAACAAACAAATTGTTATTATTATTTTTTTAGATAACTATGATAAAGCAAATGCTAAATTAAAATATTTGAAAGAGGAATCGGAACAGTCAGCCGCTAGCAATACTGATGGAGAACTGAAGACACAACGAATTCACACATCAAAAAAACAAACGGATTATGTATATTATGATGACATTAGTGAAGTAGAAGAGGATGCGCCTCTTCCTGTTCCTCCAAAATTTCCACCAAATAAAACTAAAACAAAAAAACAATTACAACTAAACGATGGGTTTTCAACTACTACTGATTCAGATCGAACGGAATCGGGGTCTTTTGAAAGAGGCTATCAAAATAATATTGAAAAAAATACAAGTAAGTTGAAGTAAAGTAAATGGATAATTTGTGTTTAAGATTGGTTTTCCAGATATTTTGGAGCATATATAAAGAGAGTCTATTAAATTGATGTAAAAAACCTCATGAAAATGGTTAACATTGAGAGAATCTCTGAGTTTGAAACTTTAGATAGCCAATTAAATTTCACAAATTACAAGGATTTGGAAGACTTTAATAACAAACTTTCAGACGAACATTATTTTAATAAAATGGTAAGTCATATGGAGTGATGTATCCTTATAATTAGTGATGTTTTTCTTTTATATATTTACAGAAATTGTCAATAAGTCTTTTGGGAGGAAGAGATTTAAGTGATTCAACAAGAAAGATCGCATCTCTATTAATAAGCCACGAGTTGATATTGAAAATGAATTGGACTGGGGTCAATGAGAAGTTTAGCTTAGTAAAACTACAAAACATATTGAAACTGATATATGGTAAGAATGTTTTATTTTTAAAAAAGCTATTAGGTTTCATGTTGGCCATTTTACATAAATCTTCCAAATTATCTATTTGGAAATGTTGCCCTACTGCATAAGGATTGTGGCATCTTTTTCTCTCTATTGTTTACACCACTGTCATTGAATAGTCTTAAAATTTTAAATTGAGTTAAAATATATTGTAGTTTCAGTTCGATGAAATCCTATTTGTACAAATTCCACGAATAATGAGTTAAATCACCAACTAAAAAAATTGGATAAATAATTCCCCAGATCGAGAAGGAGGCAGGTCTGCCCGTAATAAAAAATAATATATTTATATATTGGTATAGAGCATTTTTGTGTTATTCGTTTATGTACTTTTTCAGTTTTAAATGATTTTGCGTTTCTGTTATTTATTTTGTGGATGAAGATGGCATTTCACCTTTTTTTAATGTTTGAGTTAACTAGGATAAATTTTGTAAAAACAAGATGACAACTTTGTCCACATGTTTTTTATATATTTAAATTAATTGTAATTGATTAGATATACATACATAAGTGCAATGGGAAGGGGCCAATTTTATTATTTTGGAATTTAAAAAATCCTACAGAAATTCATTTAAAATATGAACTAGAAAGCAAGTAATTTACTTCTTATGTGTTTTCGATTTTAATGTAAAGTTTGCCTATTCACAAAGTACAAAAACTCTAGTTTTTCATAGATGGCGCTATAATGAAGGTGGATAATATTACATCTTAGTTTATTTTTTACTTTCAAAGCAAGTGTTTCGCTTTTGATCCCGAAAATAGTTACATTTCAAGTTGTAATAAAAACAAGATTGTACTTTTGTGAAGAATAAAGAGACATTTTGTGTTGTACTCTAAATAGGCAAAGTGTTCTAATAATCTCTTTGAGAACAAAGGTGACAAACAAAATTGTATTAAGAAAAAAGTAAATTTTAAGCTTTTTTTAAAATAAAACAGTTACATCTTCTAAATTTTCCCTCTCCTGTAAAATAGTTTTTGAGATATAACCAACCCTTTTCTTCCAAATGAACAATATTCATTTTTGTCATACGTTAATCTTTTTAATTTAGATTTATTTTGAGTTTCCATTTTTTATTTTGTGACATAAGTCGGTTAATATGACAATTCACATTTTTTAATGTTTGAGTTAACTAAGATAATTTTTTAAAAACAAGATTTTTTTTTAACTAAGTTAGTGGTACTGGATATAAACCAACAGGCCAGTCAATAACAAGCTTTATTATTTTACAAATTATATTAAAGTTGCTCTACCTTAATAACTAAAAATAACCTGAACTTAATAAGATTTAAATGTTTTTTTTTTTTTTTTTTTTTTTTAAACAAGATAAACCTTTATACATTTGTATTTTTTCACATATTATGTTCCTTATTATATGTTTAAATAAAATGTGTTTGTTAGATATTGTATTGTTTAATATGACCAAGCCCCTATTACATGTATAATCTTCAAAAAAGGAAGGTTTTAATTTACTGACAATTATGTTTCCCACTTTAGTACTGTGCTAAGTTATGCATTTTTATTCTTTTTTAATAAGGCCTAAAACGCACTGACAATCCAATGAAGCGTGAATTAAAATAATGTAATTTTATAAATTTGAAGAAAGCAGTTGAATCCAACCGTCATCAGGCTTGTAATATAAAAAGCTAAAATAAAAGAATATTTATAATACAAATATTCTGGTAATTATAGCTTTTGTTTATTATAGCCCTGATGATGGCCGCATTCGGTTAAAACTAGATTAACTGTGTTTATTGGGGGAGTTTCGAGGAGTTTTTTTCTCTTTTATTTACGTCCAAACCGCAAATTGAAATAAACTTAAATAAAATAGTATCATTTCCCTGTCTGAGCGGGCTCGTGATCACGATCAGCTCATTCTTAGATTAGGTGCTATCCGCGTTAGGTTTTCTTTTTCCTCTTCTTTTTCTTTTTATTATTTTTGTGCGAATTGAAAATTTAAGTAATCTTAAATAGTATAATTTTCGTCTAAGCGGGCTCGTGATGACGATCAGCTCATTCTTGGATTAGATGCTATCCGCGTTAGTAATTTTTCTTCCCTTTTTTAGTAGTTTTCTCTTATTTACGTCTGAACCGCACACTGAAGTAAACTTAAATAAAATAATATCATGTCCCTGTCTGAGCTCATTCTGGGACAATGGGTTACCCTGAGTATTAGTTTTTTTTTATTTACATCTGAATCACTAATTTAAGTAAACCCCGTATAAGACCCCGGATTTTGGTCCTGAAAGTAGTTCTTTCACGAACCTGTCTCCTCACCGTTTATTATTTCGCTTAATTTCGTACAAAAAATGCTTAATGACGTTGAATCTTTTGGAGGTATGTATGCACAACATAGGTGAAATTTAAAAGAGTTACCGGTAGAAGTTATTGTGATCCATAAATCTGTCATCCACTCGTGCCGTACAACACTACACAGAACTTTATTTACACCCAATAATACACACCCGCTATCTTGTTTGGTGGTTGCGCTGTCTTCTCGATCTCGACGATAGATGTTAAATGTATCACTTAGCACCTCAGATGATGAAATAGAGCTATTTAACCATGTTTCAGTTAGACAAATAATCTGTTGATCAGAATTTAAAGAATTTTTAAAAATTGTTGAGAGCTTGGACTTCAGTCAGTTAAAATAATTATTACCGCAAACGAGGGTGGGCGTTGAAATATAAATTTATTTTTTAAAGTTGTATATAATTAGCCACAATATATGTGTCAATATTATCTGGCTGTATTACTAAAGAAGTATAATTCCTTCATCATCATCATCATCTGAATTAGGGCGTGGTTCAAAGCCCACTTGTACTGAAGCTCTAGGCTTATTGTACCCCTCACAGTTTCTATCCCATCAGATTGATTTTCTTGATGAATTCAAGAATATGTCTGATGGGCGCTTTCGCGATTTTTTCAGGTTCCGGATATTTTACCCCAAAGTACCATTCCCGTTCCCATTTAAGGTTCCGGCAGTGGCATAGTATGTGAATAGGAGTTTCGTCCTCCTCTTCACATATTCTACATAGGGAGTCATCAGATATCCTCAAGAGATTTAGGTGTCTTCTAAGGCCGCAGTGTCCCGTAAGGAGTCCTATTACGGCCTTGAGTTCGCTTCTGCTAAGGTTTAGCAGTTGGTGTTGTCTGCTCGTGGATGGCCCCTCTATGAATCTTTTGGACTGTCTAAGTCCAGGAAGTTCCATCCAGAGCATATGGTGTTCTCTTTTTATTTGTTCCTTTAACACCCATCCATCCATTTAACATGTTGGTATGAGATACCACATGTGGGTTCTGGTCCAATAAGAGTTTTTTCCGCTCCCTTCCTTGCTAGGAGGTCTGCTTTCTCGTTTCCAAGCACTCCCTCATGACCTGGCACCCATTCAAGAGTGACCTTGTTATGTTCTGCCAGAGCCTGGAGGGACTGTTGGCAATCAAATATTGATTTAGATTGTACTTCTACCCTTTTTAGTGCTTTAAGGGCTGCCTGACTGTCTGTCATGATAACGATTCTCTTATCTCTAAGAGAGTCATTTAGCATGACTTTGGCGCAGGCATTTATTGCTGTTACTTCAGCCTGGAAGACTGTTGTCAGTAACCCCAGGTTCAAATTAATTGTCCTCCCTGAGTTCACATGGTAGATCCCAGCTCCTGTGCTGTTTTTCATTTTCGAACCGTCTGTATACCAGATTGATTCGTTTTGTTTTTCCCTTTTTTCCCGGCTTTTGGCCCTTTCTGGTATTTGAATATTAAAAGGTTTTCTGAAGTCGTGAATAATGAGCGTTCTATCCGATGGCATTCTTAGTACCGGATTTTGTTTTAATTTCTCTAATATCATTGTGTGGTGTCCTTTTCTCGAAAGTTCCCATCCAAATCCATTAGTAAACAGCCTGTATGCCGCCGCCATAGCCTCCTTCTCCACCACAAGGTGTAGTGGAGGCAGACCTAGCAGTGGCTCCATTGCTGCTGTTGGCGTAGTTCTAAATGCCCCTGTTATTATTAGACAGGCTAGTCTTTGTACCTTGTCTAATTTTCTTTTAGCTGTTATGCTTTTAGTCTTGTGCCACCATATGACTGATGAGTAAGTTATAACAGGTACTACAACCATAGTGTAAAGCCAGTGCATCATACTTGGTTTAAGCCCCCATGCGTTCCCTACCATCCATCTACAGGCCCATAGTATTCTTACAGCTTTTTCTGTTGTTTTTTCTATATGGCTGCAGAAGCTAAGTGATTCCAAGATATTTAACGTCCTTTGCCATTTTTAGAGCTCCTTCATTCCTTGAAGGTTCCTTTTTCTTGTGAATGCAACAACAGAGGGTTTCGTCGGGTTTGTGGACAATTGTGGACGATTAAAGCCCGTCACATGTGGCTACCAATTACCTGGGTCTACGTAATCTTTGACCCTGGAATTTTTCATCTTCATCTGTAGCTACCGCAGTACTTTCGACGCAATAAATAATCTGTTGCACGAGAGGCGCCCGTATTCAGTGCCATTCGTAAGGAAAATCTTTCTCTGTGGCTTGAAAACCCCTTACAGATTACATTGTTCATAGTTGTTACATATAAAAAAATTAAAATAAATTGATGACAGTGACAAAAAGAAGTTGTTAATCCTATTTTTTTCTAATTCATAATTTTGATTTTTCGACATGGATATATTTTATAGGTTTGTACACTACAGTCGTTTATCTATTTTAGTGGGAAAGAAAGTAAAACAAACTTTTTGTAACTAACCCTATCAGCAACCTAAAATGTATTTTAGAACATTGATACATCTCGATTTTCTTTTATATATTTTAGACGCCTGCTTAATGAAAATTTCCTCTTTTCCGATATTAAATTTCATTGTAAGTTTCGAGTTTCGAATGCCAGTCAAATCAATATTACCAACTACCGATATTATGTTTACTTGAACCGAACTCGAAAGTCGAACTTTATATTCTTTTGGTCGGAGTTGACCTTTGAGGGCTTATTTGAAATTTGTACTCTATGCACGTGAGTTCAAACTTTTATAGAAGCCGAATAGCGTATAGGATGTCCCACTTTCAAAAACTTGTACTTTACGATCGAAGTTTTGGAACTTGATGGCTTAATAACAATTTTAGAGGATTGCTTTGGTGGAGTTTGTTATTTTAGTTTTCTTTAGCTTTAAAACTGGTGTTGAATAATTTCGTTTTCAGTTGTAAAGGCATTCTGCCGTAGAATTTATCTTACACTTCATGGCTGAAGAAATGGCTTTTTATTTAATTTTTTGTTTTGAAAGCTTTTCCTAGGAAAACATATTCGTTGTTTTGTACT